TTTGTACTGCGTTACCTCAGAATGTTTAAAGACATCTGAGCCACAAAAGTTGATCTGGAAGCCACCAAGTGGCGAATCAACGCAAACAGGGAAGAGTGCCCAGCGGAATATACACGAACATGAAAACAGGATTAAAATTATACGGCCTACGAGAGCAGAAGGAGAATCTCTCATATCATCGCAAAATGAAGAATATCGAACGTGCGAACACAGACCCTAAACCACATACGTTCGATTCGGCAAAAAGTTCTTTTGACGGAGTCCAGAAGGGAATAAAAATTTATTTTACGTATGGAAGATTTTGTTTCGTATTCTCATCAGACTTTTCTAAATAACATTACACATGCATTTTATATTGAATGACTGATTCATTTTCTACGGCTTATCAACCCATTACAGGGTATTTAAAGCCAGAAAATATTTTTAGGTTGTATGGTTGTTTCGGTTTATATTTTGAGATAATAATGGTATAATGATAAAATTCTTACTAATTAACCCATAGCTGGTGGGAGAATAAATGGATTCATACATTTCCGGGTAAATAAATATGAAGAACATAAGGGGGACCTCCGATTAAAAGTTCCTAATCATTATTCATTACACCACCCGCACATCCAAGCTTACAGTACCTGGTATTCCCAAAGCGGTCACACGTCTAATTACTGAACAGACTCGCCGTTATTTAATTTCGATGATCGTACGGAAACTGCTGTTTCAAATTGATGTGACCTTAAACTGCACGCATTTTAATAAATTCAGTACTTTATGTCCGTCTGTCCAAATTGGTTTGAGAAGTTAAAAAATATGTTCGTCTTTGTCCGAATGTGTGTGTGTGTTTTGTTTTACGGTATATCAACCTCAATGGGTAATTTAATGCCGACAAAGTTTTTATTGCTGGTAATATGTTTTTCTTCAAAAATCTATTTCTGGGAATATTTTTCCTTGAAGAAATCTATAGCTGGTCATATTTTTTTCAAAGAATGTATAACTGTTTGTATTGCTGGTATTTTTTAAAGTATTGCTGCTGATAATTTTTGTTATGATATTAAAACCTATTTTTACACAAGTTTGGGTGTTAACTATTTGCCCATAGCTGGGACCCAAACAGGTGCTACCACCCCGGGTCAGGGTGGACCTGGGTACACCAGCAATTAAGAGGTGGTTCCACACTCATCAAAACCTCCTGATCAGAGGCCTTGCTGTTGGACGTAGTTTATCGTCATACCCAGGACGAGTGTGTGTGTGTGTGTGTGTGTGTGTGTGTGTGTGTGTGTGTGTGTGTGTGTGTGAATCTTAGGAATAAATCCCATCTCAAATTTACATATTTGTAGAAATTCAATTTAATGACCAAATACCAAAATAAAGTGTTTCATCCTAATAGAATGGCAAGTAATTGCAATGTAATCTACCATTTTCGTTTGATTTACTTACAGGATAACAAACTTAAATCAATTCCTAATAGATTCTTTAAACAAACACAACTCGTCTTTTACCATCTATTTTATGAAGGATATCAATAAATCTTTACCTTAAGATTTAGTGGCTAAAATTACTTTATATCTGCTCTGTCCGAAATTCTAGGTAAGGAATTTTAATTATCACCAAGCAGAAATGTACATCCTGTCAAACGCGAACATAAATCTCTTAAAATTAGTCTTCATCAAATATCAATAAAATTCGTTATTTACTCTTAAAATTGTACTAAACATTACAGTAGATTAGTTAAGATGATCCACGGCTTAGTTGTGTTATTTCTTGATAGCAAAATCTACACAAACCTCAATGCTGACGAATTTTCTTTTTTCCCAGTTTCTTTGTTATCTCTAGAGCGTAAAGTTTTATGCAAGTTCATCCATATTCTCAATCTTTGATTTAAATATCACAGTCTTCTTTTTCACTTTAACATTATTATTATTATTATTATTATTAATTTTCATATTATTATTCGTATTATTATTATTATTATTATCGTATTATTATTATTATCGTATTATTATTATTATTATTATTATTATTTTCTTTGATTTCTGGCGTTTACACATTTCTTTCCGGGTCCCGCCCAGGGACCTAAAGTTAGAAATGGCGTCATGACACTGACAAAAAAAAAATTACATAGATAAAGCCCTTCGTAAAGTGTGGGCTGTACTTGTCAGAACAATTTTTTGTATCTCCTTGAGGCATGGACTTTCAGGAATCTCTTCAATTAATCTACTGCAATATTTTCCAACCAGTCTTAGGGCTCCAACTACAACAGGGATTGTTGATGTTCCCATATGCCACATTTTCGACATTTCTATTTCAAGGTCCTTGTATTTTGACAACTTTTTGAATACCTTCACAGATACATTGCAGTCAGCAGGGACTGCCATATCAATAAGGAGGCACCGTTTTTGTTTGTGGTCTTTAATAACAATATCTGGCCGGTTGGCCTTGATTGTTCTGTCAATGTGTATTGTGTAGTCCCATAGAATTGTAACAGGTCCTATCTCCGTAACCGGGTCTGGGTGGTGTTCATGCCAGTTTCTTTCAGTTTCCTTCCCGTAGAAGTTGCAGATTTTCCAGTGCAGATATTGGCCCACTCTGTCATGTCGGGTTTTATATTCAGTGGGTGCCAACACCGTACAACCTGATACAAGATGATCAATCGTTTCTGGATATTTATCACAGAATCTGCATTTTGGGCTGACACAATATTTTAGTATATGTGCTTGATAATTCCTAGTTAGCAAGCATTGGTCCTGTGCAGCAAGGATAAAAACCTTTCAGTTTCCACTTTTCCGCTTCTGTAACTGGTTTCGGTTGCATTCGTTTCTTATCTGTCTTTTTGTCTTTGTCTTTTTTTAGGTATTTTGCAGTTTCAGCCGGTGTATTGTGCTGTAGTTGCATCTCTACGCCCATTTGAAACTCCATTTTGAATTTGTTGGCTTTTTTATTACGGAATAAAGACGCTTACTACTTTCATTCCTTGACGCATACCATAATCCAGTCTTCTGTAGTTTCCAAATAAATTTGGAGGCCAATTGTTGTAGTTTTGTAGGACAGTTCTAGTTGAACTAATCATCTGCCTCCTTCGGATCTGGGCACATACAGACGATCAACATCAGCTTTGGGATGATGCATGCGATAGCAAGTGAGAAGCTTTCTCGTTTTGGCGTCCATTCGCTTAATTTCAGCTATGGTCTAGTTAAGGACATTAAATCTGCATTGCACCACAGGGACAGCCAATGTGTTTATGGCTGATATCCTGTTTTTTGGTTTGGCTCAGTATTTAGTACCAGACGTACACGCCTGTAGTACTCTTTTCTTATTTTTTCCTTCATTTGGGGGTGTTGTATGCCATCTCCTTCACTAATTCCTAGGTACTTATAAGCTTCACCATGCTCCAGTTTCCTAATCTTTGTGACAAAATCTAAATCTATTAAAGGTGTTTCTGAAATTCTACCTTTCTTGAAAGTTACTTTTGCACATTTATCTAATCCGAAGTCCATACCTATGTCGTCACTGAAGTATTTTACAATATTGAGGAGGACTTTCAACTCATTGTCGTCTTTGGCAAAGAGTTTGAGATCATCCATGTAGAGTAGGTGATTGAATATTTTCTTATTTATTTTGTAACCATAGCTACTGTTCAGTTCATGTGTAAGAGGGATTAAGGATAAACAAAACAGAAGGGGTGACAGAGAATCTCCTTGAAAGATTCCACGTCGGATATTCAGACGGTTGGATATGGCAGTGCCCCCGGTGTGACTAAGGTATAGCTTGGTGTTCCACATTCCCATGCTGTGCTTAAGGAAATTTAATACCACAGGGGAGACTTTATACATTTCCAAATTCTTAAGGATCCAAGAATGTGGAACACTATCAATTATTATTATTATTATTATTATTATTATTATTTTTCATATTATTATTCGTATTATTATTCTTACTATTCTTCTTATTATTATTATTATTTTTATTATTATTATTCTTATTATTATTCTTATTATTTATTTTATTATTATTATATTTTATTATTATTATTATTTTCTTTTATTATTATTATAAATTCGTATTATTTTTCATTTATTATTCGGATTATTATTTTTATTATTATTCGTTTTATTATTATTATTATTATTACTTTTTCCTATTATTATTCTTATTATTATTATTATTCGATTTATTATTCTTTTATTATTCGTATTATTATTCTTTTTTTCATATTTTTATTCTTATTCTCATTATTCGTATTATTATTCTTATTATTATTCTTATTATTCTTTGCATCATGTTACTTATTCAGTGTCAAATTGTCAAACACGTGTTTATTCGTCTCAGTAACCTTTTTCAAACGTTTTTTTTCCTTCATTTCTTTCTCCACGATGAAATCGGTTTTAGAATTTCTAAATATTTGTAGCTCTTGTTTCCTTTCCTTGATTCGATACTTTTACTGTCAACTAATTTCAATACGTCTGCTGTTTCTTGTTCTTTTGTTTTTATACAACGATCATAATGTGTTTCTCGATTCCAAACTTCATGTCCTGGTCGAAGCTTCTTGGTGTTTGCTTCAAGATTTCCAATACGTTTGTAATTTTGACGAAATGTTTTATACTAAAAGAAATAACAATAACATAATAAGATACTAGTGTTTATGTCAGGCACTACAAATGCTATTGGTATCATGTAACACATTATTATCTGCCACCGGGTTTCATCACCAAGCCTTTCTGTCGAGGAAAATGTTCAGACACCCAAAAGCATTAAAGCAAGACCTGTACGTATTAACCTTCTTGTAGGATCAAGGGTCATGTAAGACAATGGGGTAGACTGAACTCCATAGCTATGTACACAGTCAATGCGGTGACGCCACGGCATGTCATTACTAGGTGGAGTGTTTTCTAGACTGAAGTCAACGGACAGTGAGAGGTTTCCCTCGATGGAACCAATAGACACGTACATGGAACCAATTACAACTTTCAAATTGGAGGACATCGACTGTGGCTAAACCTGGAATGGATTACGCCCGTATCACGTTGAAACACGGATTTCCGTACGATCACCAAAGTTAAGCAACGTTGAATCTGGTAAGTACCTAGATAGGTGACCGTTTTGGAATACCAGGTACTGCAAGCTTGGATATGCGGGTGGTGGGATAGATAATAGCTCGGAAATGTTAATCAGAAAGCTAAGTCTCAGTTTCCGTTTTGTTCGTTATATTCACTTACGCGAAAATACTCTTGGCAAAGGTATGAATTCACTTCTTCTCCTCCCATCTATGGGTTAATTAGTAACATTTGTATAGCTAAAACATTATCTCCAACAAAAAAAATCTTAAAATCTAAAAATATTTTCTGCCTTTAAATAACCTGCAACGGTTTGATAAGCCTTAGAAAACGAACCAATTATTAAAGTGCCATGGAGAGGGCTCGGATCAACCAAGTGTACATGCCTAAGACAAGTTACAGATTAATAATTAAATCTACGATTTGAAACCAGATATTTGAAGAGTTAATTAAATGCTCAGCTACGCAGGAACTCTTCGAGCACACGTGCTTAGGGGACTGATGCTGCTGATGCTGATGAGGACGATGATGAGCAGGATGATGAGGATGATGATGACGATGATGATGAGTATTATGACGTTGATGATGACGATGATGATGAGGAGGAGGATGATGACGATGATGACGATGATGATGATGATGATAACGATATTGATGACGATGATGATGATGACGATGATGACAATGATGATGATGACGATGATTATGACGATGATGATGATGAGGAGGATGACGATGATGAGGATGAGGATGATGACGATGCTGATGACGAAGATGAAGACGATGATGATGATGATGATGACGATGATGACGATGATGATGAGGAGGAGGATGACAATGATGATGATGACGATGATGACGATGAGGAGGATGACGATGATGAGGAGGAGGATGATGACGATGATGATGATGACGATGATGACAATGATGATGATGACGATGATGACGATAATGATGAGGAGGAGGATGACGATGATGATGAGGAGGAGGATGACGATGCTGATGACGAAGATGAAGACTATGATGATGATGATGATGATGAGGTCGATGACGATGCTGATGACGATGATGATGAGGAGGATGATGACGATGATGATGACGATGATGATGAGGAGGATGATGACTTATTATGATATGCTTCTCTGGAGAAGAACCATCACCATAATTATATTTATTCAACAGAGATATTCCGAAATGCTGCAGTAGAAAATCTTCGCTTTAGACATCATGTGCGTCTCGCGTCTGACTTGGCAGATATCACGTTTTGTTATTCTATAAGCGAATAGCTGAACCAGTCGCTTTCAAAGAAACAAGCAGTCGAACGTGATGTCTCATATTTTACTGCGGATTTCATATTTGAAAACATTCAAATCAGATCAGACATACGCAAACTTGTATAACCAAAAGAGTAAATGTCTTGGACGTCTAACATAGCCTCATGGTTAGTAACATCAACTTGCCTATCAATTCGATCATGTTCTGAGTTTTATTCTATTAAATTGAGTCATAAGTAATTCCTGTTTTGGGGAACCAATTATAATAATGAATGCATCCTCCTAAATAACTGTTCCTTAAATATATCATGTGATAAAAAAATGGGTTAACACATATAAAATATTGAACGCAAAAGACAATGGATTGACAAGGATATATCATAATAATCGACCCCAAAAGTTGAGCTCCATGGAAGAAAGGTAATATTGTACATGCGGTGGAATCTTCAGGATATTATTTATTTAGAGTTTTTTTTAAAAAGTAATGAAACACTAAATGCGCACTTGTACGTGCAGTAGCTGCAACATGTCCATAAATTTTGGTCGACATGTACATTGCACTCGCCAATAGGAAAAATATTGTTCTTTTACATGAAAAAAAGAAAGCTGCGGCGAGTCATAATAACAACAGTTATCTACCCCATCCTTTATATTCACCTGACCTTGTAGCAATTCATTATTACCCTTTCGAATGCTGCAGAATGCTTTGATAGCGAAAACATTCTCTACTGAAAACCAGATTCATGGGTTGCTTGAAACGTTTTTTTTTTATTTTTATTTTTTTTTTATCGAAACTTTCAATAGCCTAATGGAATAAAACTTTCGTTTCATAGCGACATAGTAATCCTTGGACGTGCAGCTTCTACTTAAACTCAGTGGAAATAACATTACTAAATAAAATAAGAATCAGACAATATCTCTAGACATGGCCAGTGGAACGGCAATAGCTTACTATACTATTAAACAAAGGGTTTAGTTCAGAATTCCCCGCAAGTTATACGGATTGACATAACCCTGATGAAGGTCTTAGATCAAAACGGACGAAACATTGGGATTACAACAACCACGATGAAGAAAATAGCCTTCATATGAATAGTGTAAATAAAACTTTCGTATTTTATCCAAAAAGCATCGACAAGTTTGCCTGATAAATGTCAAATCATTGTAAATAATGGTGAATATAAAACTGAATAAAATGTAATTGTGCTTTCTTTTTTGAAGGCTAAGACTGACAAGCCTAAAACGGAAATGATTTATGAATCAACCTAATGAAATAGGTAAAAAATAATAAAGAGATTAGCTGTGACCACATAAAACATATTCGACATTCCTTAATCGAACATTTAACATTACTTTCGGTTGAAATATACAAAATTTTTCTATTAAAACAGTTTTATAGAAAAGTCTTCTTCTGAAGTCCACCAGCTTACATTCAAAACAATATAATAAATTACTTGCATTATTTACATTATTCAGACTGTTATCCTCATCTTCATTACCATATTCACAACGTTTCGGACGTTGTACGCTCCGGCTTTCTTCGGATGACTGAAATTTCGGACCGAACCTTTTATTTTGTCCACCGGGGTAGATTGTCCACAAGGACACATGGCCCAGTGGATAAAGACGTTGGTTAGATCCAGTGACTAGACCCAAAGGGTTGTGAGTTCAGGTCCACGCCACAGCAATGGTGAGCCAAAACTTGGAGAGTTGAGTTAAAGGGAAATAACTGAGACATCGGAAAGAGGCATGGCACGTGAAACTAGAACAATCTATACCTGTGGACGAAATAAAGGGTACGGTTCGAAATTCCAATCACCTGACGAAGGCCAGAGCGTACAACGGCCGAAACGTTGTGAATATAGCAATCAAGATGAGGATAACAGTCCGAATAATGTACATAATGCAAGTAATCATAATATCTCATCTCAGAGATATATAATAAATATCTGTCTATATTTCTGAGATGAGGTATTGTGACTATAAACACTATTTACATTGTTCGGACTGTTGTCTTCATCTTTGTTGTCTTATTCACGAACTTTTGGCCTATTCATTGTTCTGCTTACATATTCACTAAACAGCTCAGTATATTCTTAGAAAAATTGTTGAGATATGCATAAAGAGGGTAGGACCGAGACAAAAGCATTAGAGAATGTCGGTATTAATCTCATGAAGTTCAGATTAACAACTTTCAAGGACTTACCTGTTAGGATAGTCTTGCTAATTCAGAGAACCCTTCCTGAGATTCCGTAGGTGGAGAGTTTGTGCAGCAACCCCTTAAACCACAACTTATCAAAGGTCTTTGCTATATATAAGGCGACTGTCCTCGTGATGAATTTATTGTCTAGTGCTTCACTGGTTCTATGAGCAATGACAGGACATCAGTGGTTAACCTATCAGAATGAAACATGCTTCTTGTTGATAAGGAGGTTCTTCCTGTTGAAGTGTTCACCACCCTACACCCTTGTACAAATGAATTTAAACAGTCGCTTTAGCTTCCTTTCTTTCATCATACGGTCAGTTTTAGACCCACTGGAATGAGAGAGTGTAATCGATTTCTATCCTTTCCTCAGACTAGGTCATTTGCAGTAGTGTGCAGTAAGATGAATCTATTTTCAGAGTCTATGATGAAATTTGTTTGACCTTGAAAAATATCTTTCATTGCATCAGATTTTTATCACACCCAGACACTATTGTCTAGACTGTTGATTGGTTTTCCTACGGAACATTCGCTGCGATGGACATTACTCCAAGGAAGCGTACGAAAATTGTAACGCTGCACGAACACACTAGCGAGCCTTACCAGTGAGCAAATCAAAGTACTATAGAGTGTCCCGGTAACTATCCTGATTTAAATCCAATTGAATATCTGTAGTCAATCTGCAAGGAACGACATGTGCAGTAGGTCAAGTTTCATTGGAAAAATACGGAAAAAAGTAAATAATAACGGAATTATTCGTTTTGTTTCAATTAATTTGCAGTTGTTGATTATCGATTCAGGACACATATATTGCTATATTTTTTAAACATGTTGTATAAATTGAGATGGCTTAAAATATTGCTATTCTTAAAGATATCTCACAAGCATTCGTTATGTTAGGAATAATGTCTTTATTATAAAAATGGTAGATTGCTTAAAGATATTTACTCTGTCGAGAAGGGAAAAAGCCTCAGTGAAAGAACAGATTATAACAATTTGAAAATATATATTTCAAGACTCCGACATGAAATTATCATCCAAATTCCGTTATAAACCTGACCCCAGCAATGTGCATCTTTTAGCACAGTTTTTTTTATGTTTATATACTAAATAGAAAAGGGCAGATTTATAGTTTACGATAAAAGTAGTCCGGCCTAATTAGTATATAGTCCAGAAACTAAAACAGTAAAAAAAAAAAAAATAAGTAAAATTTACTGACAATTTTGAAATTTCTAATGCAACAAACGTGATATTACTTTTCAAATATTTGAATAGAATCGATCGCGAGTAAGTTGCACTATAGACTGCTGCTATTCTGTAAAATACAAAATATATATAACGAAGCTGTTACTTTAAATGGCTCTATAAAACGGAGTGAAAATATAGAACGTGAAATGAACGCTCTAAAAACGAATGGTATATAATTATTTATTTATTTCTGATCAATACAGAAATTGTGGCACAAGGCCGGGGGATAAGGGAGAGGTTTGGTCTTCATTAGCTATCTTAGTGTTAAATAACGCAGTAGACCACATACTATAGTAGTAAATGAGGTAGACCGCATGCTATAGTGTTTGATACCGTGTTAGAC